TTAGATAATTTTCTCTTAAAGAATAATTAGATATAACAAGAATATCAGTCATTACTCTAATTTTTCGTAATTTTTCAATCATTAAAAATGTACTGTTCCATCTAATTGGAATATCAAGATCAGGTACAAGAAATGGTTTGTTTTTCATAATAAATATCTTTTTTAACTCTTCAAAAATTGGATATGAATTACGAATAGTTGATGCAAATACTCTTGCTTTTATAGTTGCAGTATCAACAAATCTTAATCCTTCTAATAACAATTAAATTTAAAATACGAGCAGCACATGGATGATGTTGAAAATCATCATTATTAAAAAATGATTGCATAAGTGATCATATTAGATCCATTATCAGTTGTTGCTGCAATAATATTTTTACTATAGTTGCGGGACAAAATCCTAAACCCATTTGGCAAAAGTCGAAACTTTTTTGACAGTTTTGATGGGTTTCGACGGGTTTCAAGGGTTTCAATGGATTTAGATGGGTTTTGATAGGTTTTGATAGGTTTTGATAGGTTTCGATGGGTCTTGATAGATTTCGATGAGTCTCGAAAGTTTTGATAGGTTCGATAACAACTTTGCGAATTCTTAAAAGGACGTAAATATATAATTATGTGATGATGGCCAGCATTAAATAAACTAAATTGTGGACATAATCGATAATCAGCGTATATGTTTATTTTTATCTGCTTAAAAGGAAATAAATTTTAAATATGAACGCGAGCAGCTTATTTCCTAGATCATAAGTATACAATTACTTTTTTTTTTTAAAATTCATTCATGTAGGATTCTCAACAAATAGAATATTTTCCTTAAAGATGAAATATAATGGTTCAGTTTCTTCCGGGTGAAAAAATCATCAAAATCATCGTCAATTTTGAATGAAAACCTATAAAAAAGAACTCACACGTTTGGAAGCGCGCGAGCTTTGACATGTTCATCAAATGCTTTATAAACATTTTTACGTGTGCGCTTGTTATCTTAACAAACTTATTTAGTTTGCAGAAATTCAAAATTTAATTAAACATTAAAAAATAATTACTTGCATTTCATAACAAGATAATCATTTACTAATATTCAGAATCCATTTCTTAGAAATCCCGTTAAAAATGTGTTCCATAATACTTCTATATGTGTTAACAGATCACCTGTCGGTCTTCGTCGTGTATAATATTGGTTATAGCGATCGAAATATTTTTTTTGATATTTTTTAAAAAACTATTTTTTTTATTAATCATTTGGTTCTCTTTCGACTTGAGTCATTTCATAAATAAGCGATATGAATTTTTTTTAAGATCAGGTCACTGTGATATAATATATTATTATTTCTCCACTCCATAATTAATTGTTTTTATTTTTTATTGGATTGCATAAGTTAGGTTTTTCTGTTTTTTTTCTTTGATAATTCCACTATAATTTTATAATTTTTCTTAAGTCCAATTATATTAAAAAAATTAAAAAAGAATTTTATTATAAAACAATGGTGATGCTATTTCTGCACTTATGCGCTACATTAAAATAGAATATTCAAATAAATTTATGAATTAAAAAATTGTATTTTTAATAAGATGAGTATTTGTCATTCGTCGAAACTTTGCCCCCGTCGAAACTGAGTATATGGAAAACCGGTACGGTACGATTCGCCAGAACAGTACGGTACGATTATGCAGATCAGTAATTTTGATGAAATTTGACATCGTACCGTACCGTACTAGTACGGTACGGTACGATGTCAAATTTTGCAATTTTATATTTTTTCTTTTTTTTTTTTATCTAATATATTTTAATTTTTTTTTTTTTAAATTCCTTCCCAGTATATATATATTTTTTAATTGATTTTTTTCTTTTTTTTCTTTATTTAATATTTTATAAATTCCTCCCGGACTTTTTATTTAATATTATTTTTTTTTTTAATTAATTTTATTCCCCTTCTACCGGACTTTTTATTTTATTTTTATTTTTTTTTTTAATCTATTTTTATTATTTTTATTCCCATCCCACCGGACTTTTTATTTTTTTTATTTTGTTTATTTTTTTTTCTTTTTTGTTTAGTTCGTTTAGTTTCCTTTTTTTTATTCTTTTTTTTTTTTTATTTTATTTTGTATTTCCATTTTAATTTTTTTTTTTTTCATTTCATTGTTTTTTTTTATAATTTTTTCATTTACTTTTTTCGTTCATTTATTTTTTATTTTTATTTCATTTATATACTTTCGTTTTCATTTATTTATTTGATTTATTCATTTTTTTTTGCAATTCTATACTTTCGTTTTCATTTTATTTTTTTTTTGCAATTCGTTTCTTTTTTACTTTATTTCTTTTTTCTTTTTCTTTTTCTATTTTAGATTTCGTTTTTTTTCAAAAAAATAAATAAAAAGAATAAAAAAAATAAAAATAAAAATAAAAATAAAAAAAAAGATTTCCGCAGATATGGCATTTAATTAGTAAAATGTGATATAATGATTTTTTTTTTAATATTATAAAAATATCAAAATTCGTTGTATTTATAAAATAAGTAATAAATAAAAATAAATTTTCATTGCGTACCATACCGTACTGGTCTGGCGAATCGTACCGTACCGGTTTTCCATATACTCGTCAAAACTTTCGCAATTTTGCCTTTAATAAAAAATTTGGCAAAACTTTTCGATGGGTTTCGATTTCGATGCCTGTCGAAACCTCCAGGTTTTGCCCGGCAACCTTAATTTTCACCAATTCCATAAAATCTAATAACTTCTAATATTGTATTTGCAATATTTAAACCTTTATGGCTTTCATGAATAGGAATAATGTCAAGAAGAAATTTACACATATTTTAATTATCGTCAATCCAATGAAGTGTAATGGATAAATATATAAGATTATTGCAAGAAGTCCACATGTCATTTGTAATGGCCATTTTTCGTGTCATATTACTTAAAAGATTACTTACAAATAAACGTTGTCTTTCATAAATTGTTTGAATTTGATTTGATATTGTTTGACGAGTTGGTATTTTGTATCGCCCATTAACTTTCGGGTCATTGAATTTATAAGGTTCGGGAATATAAGAGTTTGTTTTAATTCATTATAAATATTTTCATGATATTTAGCAAAATGTTGTTTAATTGTACTAATTCCAGTTGATTTTTTCCAACGTAACTGGCAAAATGAACAAGAAACAAAAAGTTCGCAAATACTTGTTTCAAGGTATTCACGTATATATATTATTTTTTTTTTTAAATTATTGGATAAGAATTTTTATGTTTTTTATTTGGAGGTAAAGATGATTCTGTTTGTATATGATCATCGATGATGTAATAAATACGAAAACAAGTATGGTATGATGACCGATGTAAGTATGTATGATGACAAATTTATGGTAGTTTTTGACGTTTTTTCCTATACATGTATGTTTATCAAACACCTTTTTGTTATATATAAATGATGTATGTATGTATGAATAAAATACCGTATACCATACACAAAAATGAGTGCTACGAAAACCAGTGGTGTAGGATCGACCATTAGTGTAAAAAAAAGAAGTGTATTATGTATGATTTGTGAAACTACACTGTTTATCGTGACTTTCAAACTCAAATATAAGCAAGGGAAAAAATTCTCACGCGTTAAAATACCTTTTATTGCAAAACTTGCAAAACTCGCGTTAAACAGTTATTAAAAATGTCTTCTGTAGTCAGTGCTTAATATAGCATTAAAAAATCTGGCGAATTTCGGAATTTTTGGATTGTTTTCCGGAAAAATTGTAAGATCAACGGATTTTGTCTGGTAAATTTTTTTTTGCAAATCGACATATATTGTTTAAAATAAAATTTTTTATGCATAAATATTTTAATTAAAAATATATATTACAAATAATATACACTACACATTTCAAACGTTATTATATATATGTATAGTAATTAACATTTGAATTGTGTGGTGTATATCATACACAACTTATTTTTACGTCATACACTACACAAATCAATTTACAACGTCTTTAAATAAAAAATTAAAATCAGCTGACAATTATCATGTGATTAGTTTTCGAAACTAGTTTCCAGACTACCTAATTAAGAATTTATAAACTAGTTTCGGATTAACATCCCTAGAATAAAACTTAAAGATCTCGTAGATCATTCCTTTTTTCCAGCCGGAGTTAACTGGAATTATATCATGCGGTCATGCGAAAAGCTAATAATAAAATGGATGGACCTTATTTGGGGCTGGCTTATATTATACAATAAAAGTTAATACTTTAAAAAAAAAAAATAATTACCTAAGGAAGGGTAACATCTCTATCGAACACTTTCTTCTTATCAAGCAATTTTCGTTTATGGCTTGCGTAAACATCATTGAATTACTTTTTTATTTACTAATTTAATTAACACTTTTTACAATAAGGATTGAACACATTGAAGATTCTTATTTTATTAATTCTATATTCTGAAAAGAAACATAAACTTTTTGGTTAAATCCATCAATCTTTTTTTTATCATTGTTCTCTAAACCGAACAGGTTTATTGCTATATTTGCTAAATTCCAAATCCATCCAAAATTTATAATGAAAATCAATTTCAATCAAGATTTACTCCACGAATTTAATTTCGATGATGATCGAAGCCTCTAAACAAAAAATCAATGCGCCCTCATTATGGCCTTATGGTTGATGGTGAACCGCCGCAGCATAGCCTTTTGGAAATCAAAAAAAAAAAAAAAAAAGATCCCCTCGAAGCGAAAGAAAGCCTCAAGTCATTAGGGCTATGTGATCGGCGGCTTATAATGATGATGGGCTTGTAAGTCGGAATGAAATTAGTTTGTAAGGTTCCTTTGAAGGTAAGTATTTCGCATTGGGTGGGCTATGTTTACGAAACGGATAAAGTGGGAATCTAATCTTTTCGAAAAAAAAAATTTAAGTATTTAACGGTGCGAAAAATTCTGAGAATTATTCACAAAAAGTTGAATCTAAATAATAATTTTATTTTTTTTTTTTTTATTAAGAAACCTTTATTTTTCAACGATGTATAAAAAAATTACCTTGATTCTTTGGTTATTGGCGACCGTAATTCCTTTTGTAACCCTCGCTCAGAAAACTTGCGAAGAAACCTTTAATGCGACCGAGTGTAGCGTTTGCCAAAAAACGGTATATGATGATGGCATCTTATCTTTTTTCACTGGTGTCACCCCTTCATCTCAATGTCCAGCAAGAATTCATTTAAGCAACGTTATCGATGAAGAGTACAGAAAAGCTGGTATTGAATTGTCCGCGTTTAACATTTCCTACGATTACGAACCTTTTAAGTCATCATTGGATAAGTATTGCGCACTAGAGTATACATGTGATCCATCAGAAGTTGAACAAACCTTGGAAAAGCTCAAGACGGATTGTGCCACTGAATTGTCGGCTCCTTTGGATTTTAGCGCTGATCCCAGAACGCTTGATGTCAATTCGTTTATGGCTTACGGTACATTTCTCACTTATTATGGTGGTATTCCATATCACGAAGCCGCTTGTCTCAAGAACGATAAAGGAGGTACGTAGAAATACTTTAAACAAATATATATATGTATATCGTTGAAATGATTACGAGCGCTAACGATATTTTGGAACCTTTTTTTTAAAAGAATCTTGTTTTAACGAAATTTTAAATAATGTGATTGAATTCGCCAAGAAAGAAAGTAATGGAGATACAAACATTGCCATATCTCTTGATGGGAAGACCTTATACCTACCCGATGGATCCACCAAAGAAATTCCAAAGGATTTGAATTGCGGTGAATGTTGGACTAAAATTGCAAACATTTACTTGACCTATATCGAAGCTCATCCAATGGATGAGCAACTTGAAACCAATATTTTCGGCGGTCCTGGTCAAATGAAAGAAGAACTTTCAGCTGCATGCGAGGATAGCACCGAGGATGAGGGAGTTGATCTTGTTGAAATAAGAATTGAGAAGAGAGGTTCTGGGGGCTCAACCAGGAAAAATGGTCGTATGCTCCAACGCTCACTCTTGAGCGCAATTTGGTAGAGAGAATAGATAATTATTATAGAAATGAATAGATTACTTTTATATTTATATTATATTTGTCCATATCAAATTAGAATTAATAAAAATAATTGAAGTTAAATGACGTAATTAACGAGAAATTTAACCATCTTTGAGTGAAATGAATTAAATGATAAATTACATTTGAAAAATGTTCACCCTCCAGTAAATAAATTCTCGTTGCCGACAAGGATGGTTGACAAGTTTGAAGAAATCATGCGATAATTTTTATGTGAATTATATTTTTTTTCTATATTGTCAGCTAAATGAATTTAAAAATTTGATTTCAAAATTGTGCGATTAAAAGAATTAAACAAATTACACAAAATCCAATATTGACAATAATAAATTTTTTTTTTTTTAATAATTATAAAAAAAATTAAAATTAAATTTAGTACCCATCCCGATCTCTTACGTAAATACGAGTTATTAGATAATAAGATTTCCTTAAAAGATTCTTTTTCGAAAAAAAAAAAAAAAAAAAAAACTTATACAAATGTTTAATAACAATGAAATATATTTTTTTGAGGATAAACCAATTTGAAATATCAATAAATACAATCGAATATAATACTTCAAATTTTTGTAAATATATTCAGAAACAAAGCTATTCTATTTAAGAAACAAAACTGACTGGAAACTATATCAACAAAAAAGCGCTATTAATTTTGTTAATGATTTACACGAATTTTTGCTGCGTAAGGTACGTAATTTACTTCTTTTACGCGCGTGGTAATTATGTCATTTAATAAAAAGTTATGTATAAAAAGAACACACACACACAAACAGTTGATGAACAATTTCAATCATTCTCTCTCATTTTTTTTTTTTTTTCTTTTTTTTAAAAAAAATAATAATGTTTCGCACTTCGTTTCCAAAAATAAAACCTTTTGTGGATAATAACTAACTCTACGTCAAAAATATTTCGACCAGATTTGAATATTCGTTTAATATGTAGAAATTCTCAAGCAAATTTGATTAATACTCGAGTGGTGCAGCAGCAGACCCATTATTGAAGGATTCAGCTTTGAATACAATTATTTCATCAAAGGGTCGTAAAAGTCTTACTAAAACACATATTAAAGCAACAACTAGTGAATTTGATATGACATTAAAACATGAATTCTCGGAAATTGAAGCATTGTGTGGTTCAATGGATTTAACAAAAGAAATTTCTGATACGACAAAACAATTATATAAAAGGTCAATTGAGGAGAGATTATTGCGTGGGAAAAATCAATTGGCAATTTTCTCCGCATGCATTTTTATCGCATGTAGGGTTAAAAAAGTTGCGAGATCTTTTAGAGAAATTTGCTTTTCATCACAAGTTTCTATAAAAGATATTGCAAGATGTTATAAAATATTATATCAAAATTTGGAATTGAATGTTGGTCAAATGACTTCTGAAGATTTAATGATTACATTTTCTCAGAGTTTAAATTTACCGAGAGATCTTCAAATCACCGCCACAAGATTAAGCAAGCGAACCGATGATTTAGGTTTACTTTCTGGTAGAAATCAAAATACCATCGCTGCTGCTTGTATTCATTATGCATCTGAAATTTCTCATGGTGGGATCCCTATTGACAATATCGCTAAAGTTTCTGGAATGGCTCCTGGTTCGATCAAATCTGTTTACCGTTTGCTTCATGCTGAACGAGAAAGCTTTCAAGATATAATTGATAATAGAGAAAGGGTCATGTCGTAAACTTTAACCTAGTACGACGGATCGAAATTTCCGTAAGTTTTAGACGTTATTTTTTTTTAAAAAATAATAATTATCTTTTATATATGCCTATAATCTCATTTTATAAAATAAAAAAACAGGATTTTGGATTGAAAGAAAATCCTTTCCCCTAGAAGTTTTTTGCGAAATATTTCATTCAAAATTATATATTTCATTTTTGCATATTCTATAGCTTTTTGTTTTTCTATATATTATAGCAATAACTATATTTAGTAATAAAAAAGAATAAATGAATTAAATTATAATTGGTTAAATTTCATACGTCACATCGAGTCTCTCACGTGATTATATTCTCACACTAAAAGCGCACTTAAACGTTGCAATAATTAAATTTTTACGAAAGGTTGGTTTCTTCCTTTGTAACAAAACGCTATAATGTCGTTACTCACAAAGTCCGTGAAAAATCGCTTCGCTCAATCTTATTCAACTATCAAATTTTCATCTCGCAAATTTGTTAATTACCCCATTCAAAATAAAACCCATAGTGGATCCTTTCCATTTTTATTAAACCCGGCAAGGGAATCTAAATCCAGAAAAACGGGACAAACAGAAATTCGTGGACCATATTATAGTCCGATGGGTAAAAGATATTTATCGGATATTTTAGAAACCATGGGACCTTACGTTGATTCATTAAAATTTGCCGGAGGATCATTTACACTTTATCCTGAAAATGAATTAAGAGAAATTATTGAGCTGGCGCATGATTATGATGTTAAGGTTTCCACCGGAGGATTTATCGAAAGAGTTTTATTGGCTCAAGGAATTGGGGATCAAAAGGGTTTAATCGATAAATACATGAAAAAATGTAAAGATTTTGGGTAAGCCGGTATCTCGAATGTTCTCTACAACAGTATTCAAAATAAAAAAATAAAAAATGGCAATAAATTTCTCTTCAATTTTAGATTTGATACTCTTGAGATTAGCGCCGGATTCATTAGCATTCCATCAAGCGACTTTTTGCGTTTGATAAACAAAGCATCAACACTTGGTCTAATTCCGAAACCTGAATTAGGAATTCAATTTGGATCGGGAGGTGGTGTACTTGATCCATCCCTCACCGCTGCAACAACCAAACAGGATATCCAACATTTAATCTCTCGAGCTCATCTCTTCCTTAAAGAAACTAGCACTCCGTTATTGATGATTGAAAGTGAAGGAATTACAGAAAATGTACCTAGGGAGCAATGGCGTACTGATGTTATTGCTAGAATCATTCAAGAAGTTGGAAAGGAAAATGTTATGTTTGAAGCGGCTGATCCGGAGGTTTTTACCTGGTTCGTAAAGAATTATGGTGCTGACGTTAATTTGTTTGTTGATCATAGTCAAATTGTTCAGTTGGAATGTCTTAGGTGAGGAAAAAAGATGTTTGAATTTTATTTGTTTTTCATTCTTCAAAACCATTCTAACTTTTTCAAAATAAAAAATTTTTTTACTTATCATTAGACAAGGGTAAGCATTTTTTTTTTTTTTTGAATGGTATAATTCAATGAGTATTATTTTTAATGTAATCTGCTGTATATCATTTAGAATCTGGGGAACTTTTGAGACTTGGGGCCGAGTAGTTAGATTTGCCGAATGATTTATTTCATTTTTGTTTTGTAATATTGTTTAAAATGCAAGCTCTTTTTTCTTTCTAAGAAACAAAATATTATGATTGCACGTTATAATGTTCCGAAATTAATTACTTTTTTTTTTTAAATGCAACCGCATTACAGTGATAAGTGTGAATATAAAGTTATAAATAAATACATTGTCGTTATTAATGGCAATAAAAGCTGCGGCAGCGTTGGTAGAATTTGTAATGGATTAACCTTTTTTTTTGTTTTTAAAGGTCCGAAAGCTAAAATTTTTTTTTTCAATCATGAAAACTAACATATTCGGACGGGATAATATTACTGTCGGAGATTAACCTAAAATGCTCGTCGGATTGCACGGAAAATAAAGGTATTTCTAGTAATTAATTTTTGCACAATGTATAATCTATATAGAGATTGACAGACTTCGTCCCATTATTTATAAAATATTATACAATTTAAATTTATAATGGTAAAGGAGATGAAGCTTCTGGTTTTAAACGTTCGTATTTTCAGTTCATTTTTTTTTTTTTCATGATTTTCGTAGCAAATCATCCATTTATTGGGGGTTTCTTTTTGATTCGTTACAACAGACTTATTTTTTAATAAAAAAAAAAATTTTTTTCTCGTTGCACAATTTTGATTTTCTCGTGATGTTGATCAATTCATTTTAGTTAAGTTTGATTATAAATATTCTGCTTAATTTAAACTAATTCTAGCCGTGACAAATCGATATGTGACAAATAAGATTTCGCCATTCAAAAAAATAGCTGTCCCCTGTATAAATAGTATAAACTATATGACAAATATTTTATTATAATCACGTGCCCGAGGGTTTTCCAGGGTTGCTTTACTATGTTCGTCGATTTTAATAGCAACCGATATGTCAACAACGACGACAGTTATCGGTACTGGACCAGATAGCAGAATACATTGTTTACTTATCTTTTCATCATTTTCATAGATATCGAGAATTACGGAGTTCTTCGTTTCCGATATAATTATTTTCGTACGAAGACGAAAGTTTTACAAGACTTTCCTGATGATCCTACAATAAGTTAGGTCCTAAACTACGCTTGTCGTACGCATTTTTCCGTTACTAAAAAATCACTGGATTTGATTTTTATATACTATGCTCAAGATAAACGACATCGAAATTATTTATTAAATTTTTCTCCAAAAAAAAATGGTTATTTTAAACGGGATAACGGGGAAAGCATATTCACGGCAAAAAGAATTTTTTCATTGCAGACCAAAAGCAAAATTTATTAATTATAATATAAATTCAATTAATTTTTTATATTCATTATTATATTGTAGAACGTTAGTTATTTAACTCAACTAAATTAAAAATAGGCAATTTCTATTTGTACACAGTGTATTGTACACGGTCATGTGATACGGCCGGCATTAACATCACTTTTACCAATATGAAGCAATTAAGAAATTACCTGTATGACGTCCATGTGATGAATAAGAATTTTCCACCGAAAAATTTCTAAGTTCAGACTGTTGTAGGCGTAGGCATCATTGTTCTCGTTCTAGTACTAATTCTAGTACTAGTTCTACTAGTCCTAGTCCTCATCGAAGAAACTAAAGAAGAAGGAGACGGCATTAATTTTTTTATTTTTTTATTCTTATTTTTATATATTTTTTTTTTTTATATTTTGCATTAATTTTGTTGGCTGTAAAACTATCAAATTTTCCTCAGTAAATAAAGTAATTTATAACAGAAAGATGGTGAATCTATTACTTATGAATTTATAGTCTTTGTATATGTATTGATATAAAAAAAAATAACGATAAATAAAAAGAAGTCATGAATCAGAAAATATCTGATCAATATCCAGATATCTATCAGATATCTGCAGATATCCAGATAAATATCCAGATATTACCTAGATAATTATTCGTTTTATCTGGATTAAATGGTACATGTCAAATCAGATATCTGGATGAACGGATCCAAACTCTAGTGTCAACGATGTTAATTAATAATTTTAAAGAAATTATTATGTATACTAAAATTTATTATTTAAAATTTTTACTATTAAATTATTATTTTATAATATTTAAAATTTTGCTATTATAAAATATATAATATTTATTATTTAAAATTATTTTACAGAACTAATTTTTGTAAAACTTGAAATCAAATTTTGCTATTAAAATCACCCTACCGGACATTATTACACTAATTTATTAAAAAAAGTTTATATATTAAAAAAATTATCTTTTATTTTTTTTTAAAAAAAAAATATTTGCTGGGGTATTAAATTCCTCCTAGACCCCCATTCAAACACATTCAAACTATTAATAATGGTTTTAATTAAAGTTAAAAAATTTTGAATTTGAAACTTTTTTAACTTTTTAAATAATAATGTCGATCATTTCCAAATTTTATGTCGATCATTTCTAAAATCTAATTTTTGACTGATGTTACGGCCTAATTGCTTGCTTTGTTAATAAGATAATCGACTATAAAAACTTAACAAATAAAGTTCATATATATATCATATAATAATATGAATCAAAAATCTCAATTTTGGTTGGTGGGGTCCCGTAAGGTGATTTTAATAGCTTAGCCCCGATTTGGGCTTATTTTATTTTGTCATTTGAAGAAGAGTTGATTTAGTTGATTTCAACTAATTATCACCATTTCGCAATGTAAATAATAGTGTCTTTTTACCCTGTCCTAAAACAAAAAAAAAATTAAAATATTCAAAAAAATTGCTATGCGACATTCTCAATACTAAAGTTTTATGTGTGCCTGATAGTTACCTACAAAAATAAGTTTGAATCATTTCAAGACACCATAATTAAATTCTTTTAATAACGAAAAAATAACTTGAAAAGTTAAAGCTTATTCGGATAGAGTTGGATCAAATTGATTCGAATGATATATTGTTGACTGCATTATTGGAAAAATTTGTCTAAAAGAATGACTTATCTCCAATTATTTTTTAACAGATAATTTTGTTTCAATCTGAAAATAATATTGTTTTACCATCACATCACTTGAAGCTTAGCACATGTTCATATAATTTACATTAATTTTTTTTCTTAGGCTTTCATTCTATAATTACTCCTGAATCTTCAAATGGCAGCACAAGCAAATTTCGTTTGTAAATTATGGGACTTTTAAATTTTCAAAAGAAAGAGAAAGTCCCGAATCCAAAGTAGCAGAAAATGATAAAGTATCCCAATATAGATGGGATAATAAGCAGATCGAATTGTTGCTTGCAGAATTTTAAAAGTTATGGTTCTGCAGAAAGAAAAAGTTAGAGAGACGCTCTTATAGAAATGACTATGATTATGATTAAACAGTGCTACTTGAAAATGTGTAATCAGCGAATTAACATTGTAAAATATATTTTATTTTAA